ATTAACGGCCACCTGTCAGATAACTTCCTCTTGACTCGCTAGTTGAGACAAGGGTGCCCGCTGGCCCCCCTGTTGTTTGTACTCCAGCTGGAGACCCTGCTGGACAACATCAGATTCAACCCCAGAATAGCAGGCCTCAAGCTGACCCCTGGCTTGGAATGGAAAGGGGGGGCTCTGGCGGACGACCTCACGATAGCATGTGAAAACAATACTGTAGTTCTACATGAACTCCGTAAGGTATTAGATGCGTATTGTATTTTGTCAGAAGCTTCCATAAACTGGGGTAAATCAGCGTACTTTCTTCCTGTCTCCCGTGTGCTTGGTGTGGATTGGGGTCTGAAGCAAATACCTGCTAACTCTTCGGACCGGTTCCTAGGGGTACAGGTCTCTCTTTCGGAATGCTCTGATGTGCAGGACTCACTACTGGCGGACAAGGTTGCCGGAAGAATCGCGGGCTGGGCTCGGTCCTTCAAGCTGTCCCTGTTTGGGAGGGCGCTGGTTTTGTCTACAGCGGCCTTCTCCTTGCTTTGGTTCCCGCTGTCTGTGCATCTCTTGGTGGAGAAAGCATATAAGAAGATTAAAAGAGAAGCAGCGAGATACTTATGGAAGCCAGCTGTGGATCGGCAACAAGGGTTCATATGGAAGGTGGCTTGGGAGACCACCGCCGTTCCTAGATCGCAAGGGGGACTGGGCATTTTAGACCCTGTTCAGCAAAACTTAGCACTGCTGTGCAAATGGGTCAAGGCGGCAGTCTTCGGGGTCCGCTCCAAGCTTTGGGTCAGGCTTGCTGAGTATTTATTAGCTCAGGAATGGAACCTTACCAGACCCTCAGATGTATGGGCCTGTCTATTTATCCCTTCCTTTACAACGAACAGGCCAAAATCCAAGCTATGGAGGAATATATTGGTCGCATGGCATAAACTTTTCCCACAGCCCCTCAGACCCCCTGAGACCAGGAAAGAAGTGCTAAATCAGATTTTGTTCGAAAACGTATATATAAGAGACCTGCAAGGGAATAGCTTTAAAGCTGATGGCAGCCCTGGCTCCTTTGGCCGGGTCTGGATAGAAAGGGGAATAGTCCAGGTTAAAGACATTTGGGACTGCACTACAGAGGATTGGCTCCCCATTGAAAGTATTAAACGTAGACTACCTTCAAGCTCGGAACATGGCCACGGTGCCTGGGTTCGTGATCCGGAAGCGTCAGATAACAATCAAGAATTCTTTGAAGTAATAGGCCCAGAGATCCCACAAGGAGTAAAGGTAGAAGTTTGGCTACGAGCAAGAGGTAGTAGGTGTGTCCCTACTCTCACCAAGTTGGAAGATAGAGTTATAGACACAACTGGCGGTTTCAAAGAATGTCGAGTCTGGCAGCAGCCATCAAGAACAGGAGAAACGTACCTAGTGGAAGAGGACGCTGACAGACTACAAATAGAACCTCTTCTATACGGGTGGAAGGATTTGACTGGCCAGAACAAACAGACACCTGTCTCTGAATACACTTCCAAGATTGGAGTCCAGATTCTTAGGGCAGCTGTGAAGAAACAGCCGATAGTCACGGCAGCCGAGAGACTTTCCAAAGAGCCGGGCTATACACTAGGAAATCTGGACCTTTACGGTCACTGGCGGGCCCTGAAGCTAACGGTGTCCCAGAGACAGGCTGGGCTGATTTGGCTCCAATTGCTGCTGGCAACCCCCTCAGCTACATGGCTCTCTTCCAAAGGAATAGATGTTCCCCTCCAATGCTCCCGGTGTAAGTGGGGCTGCGAGACGGCGACTCATGTTTGGTTATTCTGCCCCTTCTCATGGCAAGTCTGGGAATGGTGGAAGTCAAAATGGAAGGCGATTGCTGAAGAAAATTTCCTCTGGACACAGGAGTGGTCCCTGTTTGGTTTGAAAAATGAGGAGGTCGACCTGTCCTCCGGGTGGGGATATATGGCCTTAGCTTGCCGGGGAGTGGTGATGGAAACTCTTTGGAAAGCCAGAAATAGTGCAGTCTTCAACCAGGAAATCCTGCCGTATTACAAGCAGATATCTCATCTCAAAAAATTACTCAGACAGACTATCAGAGTAGACTGGACATCCCCACACCCCAAATCGAAAAAGAACAGTTTTTGGTTCTCTCAGACTTGGGGTAGAAACAACGCCTTCGCTTCCATTTCGACAGAAGGCAAGCTAATAGGGGCTGACTGGCTCACTTCTGAGGTAGACTGATGGATAGAGCCGAAGGGATAGGCTCATCTGTGGAACTGTTGCAGGCCGACAGTAGGCCGCCTTCTTTGGGACTATTGTAAGGTCTTTCTTATTTACGGTTATACTTAGACAGATTAGTTAATCAATTATTCTGGTAGGCAGATTCTCCGCTCAGCTAAAGGAATATCTTCTGTGGTTATTGGGATGGTAGGCATAGGAATATGAGTAGCTAGACGACGTGCCAGGTTTGGTATGGTAGTTGACAAAACCTTTGGGCTTGAATGGACATAGGTTTAAAAAAAAAAAAAAAAAAAAAAAAAAAAAAAAAA